TTTCATCGGTATCAATAGTTAGTCGTAGCTTCCATAGAAGATCCTTTGTGTTTGTGAACTCATACGCATGCGTGATCGATCCATTGTTAATTGATCAGATTAGATGCATGTAAGTTTGTTGATGAATTGTTTATGTTGAGAGATGGGCATCAATAATCCAAAGTCTTGTTCAATCTTAACGCGTATTGCGGTGGCGTTCTTGGTTTGTTTTGTAGTTGAAGGCTGGAGAAATCGATGGAATCATCAAGGACTTCAATGAGCCCGGGACTCTTGCCCCAACCGGACTGTTTCTTGGTGGCGCTAAGTACATGGTTATTCAAGGTGAACCAGGAGCTGTGATCCGAGGGAAAAAGGTAACGTATTTAGATCTTACAACTGAAACTGGTTCGATGAGACTTATCGATTAACCCTTATACACGATAAAGAGCATGTAGATTTTGATAGAGACTATAGAATTAGAAAACTCATTTTACAATCTTGTGGATTTGCAGGGACCTGGAGGAGTTACTATTAAGAAGACGACTCAAGCCTTGGTCATTGGTATCTATGACGAACCGATGACTGGAGGTCAATGCAATTTGGTTGTGGAAAGGCTCGGGGATTACCTTGTCGAGTCTGAGCTCTAAACTGGGATATCATTTTCAGGTTCTTGTTAACTAAAGAGTGTCATTTGGCCTTTTTATTGTGATTGATTGTAATGCTTTCAAACGCAATCGATTGATACTTTAGAACCAATCATGTTATTGGTCTTGTTACCTGGTTTTCGGTTTGTGTGTCTTGTAATGGCATTTGATGATCTTTCTTTTTTCCTTCATATGTATTGAGTTCTTGGATTTTTATTTCTTCATAATTTTTCTGTTCTTGAATGGATCTGTGGTTTACGATATGCGGTTTGAAACATTTTTGGTCTGGAAAACAAATCAACGTTTGTGAAATAGTAGTCGCAAGTGGTTTGAAACATTTCTGTGTGTAAGAAGATTGAAAGGTTAGCTAGATGGTCACATTAACGATGTAAGTGGAGAAATTATATAGGAGATTTGAGTCCAAAGGATTTAGAGGTTGCGCGTTTTTCATTTTTGGAGTTTTTTTCTTTTAAACCAATGTTAATCACCAAGTTTACGGAGTTCAAATTTGACAATAACAAAATGGTTTGGTATTTTAAAAATTTTAGTGACACATTCGATAAATGTGAGAAATTCGTACATCATATCCTGACTTCCAAACCCCAAACAATACATGAATAATCCAAAATTCAGCTACTTTAGTTGTTTACTGGACAAGTTAAAGAACGTGGCATAAACTAAGCTATGTAATTAAAACTACGTAGTGTTGGATTTTCTCACTGAAGAAACTTTTTGAGGCATTATCATCATATGAGAAGAATGTGGGATATATAATCTCACATTGGATATAAAAACCTTATAAGATTTAAAGACTCCTAAACTCTTAAGCTAGTATTGATTTGTTCTTCTCCTTAAACTCTTAAGAGGTAAATCGAAAACGTCCTGGACTTTACATCAAAATTTACAATCGGTAAAGTTCGGCATTTAAATCAATTGGAGTGTTCATGCATGAGCGACGACAATGACTACATAAAAACTTTGAAAAAAGATGGTAAAACGTTAAAGCATGGGCTTGATTGGTTTTTAAGTATATAAATTTGTCGGAAAGTATAAATTGTTTTGGCATAAATTATATAAACTGTTTTGTATCGTTTTATAGCGAATTAAATCATTTTTTAGGATGTTGGTTCCAAAACGAATATATATATATATGCATATCGCAAATTTATCCTATAAAAATGTTTGTGTAGGAACATTGAACTCCCAACCACAAAAGTGTTTAACCCAAAGAGCTCAACAATGAATTTGTAATAGGAAGGAGGTCGGAGAATTTCGTGTATTAGAGTTCGAGCTCAGAAGAAGTGTTACAAAATAGATCGCAGCAGATAGTCCGGACAGATCCCGGTCTATCAGATTGCTATAAATCAGAGAAAGCGTAGTAAGCCGGACAGATCCCGGGCTACTTAGTTCGTTGCGAGCTAATAAAGATATGTAAACGTTTTCGGTATTTTCCGGTCGGTGGTGACCTCCCGGCGAGCTCTCTGTTGGAGTTAGAGACCTGAACGATGATGCTCTGGGTCCCTTGTACTCTTTCTTAGAAGAATGGAAGATGAATGCTCACATCACATTATTTCTCTATTTATAGTACAAGATTGAGGGTACATACTAGATTTTATTAACTGTAGTTACCGAATCTGACTCAGGTTTAACCAGACGCAGTTACTGTTTGAGTTGGGCTTTCACGGGCCGCGGACCGTTGGGTCATAGACCGTTTGGGCCACAGGTCCAGGCCCAACAAAAAGCTATTAAAGACCACCATTGCCAATGATTTAACTGAGCATCTATGACAAATTGATTACATGAAAATTATTAAGATTAGTTCCCTCATATTATCTCGAATCAAAACGTTCTTTCTTCTCTAAGATCTTTAATTTCTTCTCTTATGAAATTGATAAGTCTTCATCATTTATTCTCCTTTATATTAGTAGGCGCCAATGTAGATCCTCACATGCATGAATCAACTACAAGGAGATAATATTGTCGACATGGTCACATGAGATGAGATCTCTACCAGTAACCCACACTTGTACCCCCGAAAAGCCATCAGTTCTTGGGATTCCTTCAAGTGTAACTTCTCTCAATGTGTATCTATTCATATCATAGTAGTAAAGAACGCAAGGATAATAAGAGCTCAAGGTGGGCTCGAACACTAGCTCTCCATCATTAGTAGTCCCCTTAAGTGCAAAAATCTCTTTTGTAGGAGGAAAAACAAAAGTTCTCTGGGACCATATTTTCTTTTTAGCATCTTCAAGAACCCACAAAGTAAAACAACTATCATTATACATGAACATCGAGCTGCCGGCTAACTTCCCTTGGTGGTTTATCAGATTATCTATATTTTTCGGTGTTTCAATGAAACATAGTTGCTCAGATCCAACATCAAAACTCACAATTTTCTTGCCTCTCTCTACATCATGAGTTATATAATACACAACTCCATTAATGCATACTCCTTCGCTTGGGAGTGTATAACAACCGATATTTTTTTTCAACGCGCCTCCGCAAATAAGAAGAATATGGTTCGCCTCCTCCAAACGTACATACACTATGTTCAACAACAACCTGATTAGTTTCAGATGGCTATGTCACGCGCAATACTTTGTACTGATCATTACTCGGATCGTATCCCAAATACATAAAACATTTCTTTGGATCATTAACCTCATGTTCATAGGGTAAGCTTATGACTTGTCTTGTAGTTGGGTTGCATATAAATTGCCTATTCTCATAGTCATGACTGATCATATGAGCGAGGAGGAGACGAGGCCGAGACAAAGATTTAGACATGAAAGAGTCCATAATTAATCGACTATTGATTATGGAACACCATGTCTTCGATATGCATTTGAATTTGACAAGAGATTTTCCCGGCAACCTTGTGAATATCTCAACCATCGTATCAAAAGGAATTGGTTCTGTGTTACTTCTGACGGTTATGATCACTGCATCGTCAATATTGTCATCATCGTCTTCATGTTGTGTTTTCATGGTCACTACACCATACAAATTTTAAAAGCTTCTCCAACCTAGATATGTTTATAAAGATTGTATAAAAAGCTTTAGAGACTCAATATGGTCAAATAGGTATGGCTCATGAGTCATGAGTCATCTGTAAATTTTAATATAGATACATTTTTACTTTTTTCCATGTTTTCTTTTCAGACATTTTAGTAAAGATATTTGT